GAAGAGGTGTATTAACTCCAGCAAGTTCTCTACCAATTACTGCTGTCCTGCGTTTATGGTGATCATCACTGTCAAGAAGAGTGCATACATTCCAGGATGCAAAATGTAGTTTCTGTTTAGTCATTGATTTTCTTTTGTGATCACAAAACTGGATATCCAGTCGTCATGGCTAACTGACAGGAATCAACTTGAACAAGCTGTGTTTAGGGTTTGTTTTCTCTCCCTCTCTTCTTTTAAAGAAAGCAACGCTATCCCTAAATAGGGCGGCTTTGCCATCTGGACAGGATACAGAAGCTGCTGTTGTTCCAGTTCAGCAGCCAGATGACCATCACACCCGAGCCACCTATGTGCAGGTTTATGGCTAGATGCTTCCAGTGGTGTCCGCCACCTGCATCCAAATGTCACTTGCTCATCACCATAGAACTTTTGTCAACAAGAGGTAAATCTTTAGTGTCAAGAGATATACCATCACACATGAATGGATTTAAGTGAGACTGGCTTGTGGGTTCTAACACCACTCTCTCATCTCATACCGATCATTGTACACAGGCACAGGAACTGCAACATGTGCACTGAAAGGAGAGAGTGCATGTTTCAGATCAGAGTTGCCTTCTCCTATACAGATGTGACTTAAAAAGGCTTAGTGAGCTCTGTCTGTCTCTGTTTAAAATCAGAGTTTCCCTTCTCCTTGGTACTGTCTGTGGGTCCATGGCACCTTATTCCATATTATTCAGCACAAACCCTCAAGATCACTTCACAGAGGCCTTCCTCAGTAAAAGCTTTACCAGCATTAAAACACACATTGTCAGCATTACATATCAAAATGCACAATGTGTATAGCCTCAAAATCAAATCCTAGTACGTTATCAAAAAGCATTTTCTTTACTGTGTCCAGCTATAAATTTTGGTGATTCTCAATGAAAACATTTTTTCAGCTTGTGTGCAGAAAGTGAAATTGATGTTTACCAACATTTCATTGATAACAATATAACTCCTCCCAACCCTGTCTATACTACAGGACCTGGATGAGACCCTCCAAAGTTATTCAGACTCCACAACTGGCACATCCCGAGTATAATATTTGACCCAGTTAAGTGGAGAGCCCTAAGCAGCAGTAAAGGAGCCACAGTAGCCAGACAGAGAAGGAGCTCTGTAAACAGACAATCCCTGCCTTGATCTAATCTGCATGGAAGTGACTGAGCAGTGAGTCACCAGTGGCTACGGGCAGGCAGGGCTGATGTGGCTGCTTTTAGTAGGGCATCCATGGGGCCCCCGTATATACCCACAGCTGTCACCCCACTCCCAGAAACACACATCCTGGCAATTGAAATTCAGGACCTCTCAAGTCATCGGGGCAACCTTCAGAACAAAGTTTCCTTAGTGCTTTTTACCCCTCTGATACTTTGTTAGTGCTTGTCGTCTTGGTAGCCTGTGCCCGTCACGGGACATCAGCGAGACAAGGCGAATGAGATAAAATATATTTTATTGGACCAACTTCTGCAGCTGCGAGCCTGATTATCAGAGCCCCTGGGTCACCACACCCTGCTCCCTCCCTCTGCTCCCCCGCCCCCCGCGCAAGCTGGGGGAGTGTCCCTAGGGCGCTCTCTATAGGCCAGCAGGCTGCTTGAGACACGTGACCCAAATTCGAACGCGACCTAACCCCGCCCCCTCCCTTCCCCGACCGGCTCAGTGGGACGGGCGGAGCGGGAGACGCCCAGCGCATTGGCTGGCGGTGGCACGCGACCAGCATTCCAACGGCCGGGCGCGAGTCACTTTCGGGAATTTCCGCCCCCCACCCCCCTTCTCTACTGCGTTTGTCGCCCCCTT